TAGATAAGCAGTTACATAGATACATATGAGAAAATTATACAATACATACATCATTTCAGAAAGTTTAATAGAATCAACATAATTCTGTGTTAATTTACGATTTCATAATAATTATAAAGTTGTCCAATTATTACTAAAACGATAATATTGTCTCAAAAAAATGAAACATTATATAATTAAATAGAGATCCCTTTAATGTTATGAAACACAATAATAATGTACAAATATTTTGAAATTTTACACATATATTATAATTTGTAATGATGATTACATATAGCAAGGATACTCATTTAATATTATATGGCATCATTAATGTCATTATCATTGTTCAACAAAATTATTTCGTTAATTTATATTAATATTTGAAATGGTCAGGTTGCACTAAACTTCATTATCTAATTACTTTCTCTTATTTCACTTGCATTTAACTTATTCGTATGGAATTTACTAAAGAACGATTTTTTATTTTTTTTTTCTAAATGAAAATATAAGCGCCATACTTATCTACGCTTGCATGCACGTATATAAATCATAAATATTCAAGGTAATTTTTGCATTCTACAGTAAGATAAATAATTTATTTAATTGTTTTTACTCATTCTCTACACCACTCATTATCCATATCTCCTACTGAGATATTTCATTATTATTATAACTATTTTTAAAATACAAGTTTAGCAAGCAACCTGTAGCAAATACTACTGGATTATATTATTCGTGACCTACTGTTCGTAATATATCTTTTATATATCGCATAGTGGAACCAATGATAGAATCCATTGCCACAAGTTAAACGTAAAAAAATTATAGTCGAAAAGAATGTAAATACTGTAACCTAAATATAAAAATATCATAATATGCTTATGTTATTTTCAATTTTATTACCGGAAAAAGGGGCTTTATTAAAATTTTCATAGTTAATGCGCACGTGTACGTATAACGTATATGTATTGATAAGACGTGTGTATGAAAGGAAGAATGATGAATCATCTAACATATCTGACTTTTCATTAAGAAATATTCAATATCTATCTATATATATATATATATCATATATATATATATATATATATATTATATAAAAAATAATTGTCTTATATAATATAACAATAACATTTTAACATCTTAAGTATTATAATTATCGTATAATATAATTTTAGCATTTTTTTCTTTTTTTTTCGACAAATATTTAATTTTTGTTTTATATTATTTTCTATGTTCTTTATCGAAATTTCTTTAGCTAATATGCGATATATTATAAATTGCAAATCGTAAATAAATGTTTTCTAAAATGATTTTATGTACGACATAATTTGATAATGGACGTAAGAGCATTTGACATTTTAATTCTTTAATTGAACGTATAATTTCTGTCGAATACAATATAAAATATGTTTATACTGCAAATTTGGAAAGCACTTGCAGAAAGAATACCATTATGAATAATTTATAGGCTATGAATATTGGTATAAATATGAATATTTTCAGTACAGCGGTTATATTACAGTTACAAATATAATTAAATCTATAAAGAAAAATGTAGAGTTGCGTATTTTAATTTTGAAATATATTGTATGAGAATACAATGTACTTTTTATTTAATTATGAGGTCACTTATTTTGTATGTATAGTAAGTATTTGCTATTCACATTGATTAACGTAAATCATGAAAATTCAAAGATATATATATATATATATATATATATATATATAAAGAAATAAAATTAAATATCGTAGTGAAGAAATATGCAAAATTACAGTTTGCTTATTAAAATTACATATCGTTAGTATTAATTTGTTACAATCCTTTATTTTTCATTAATGTCAAGAAATTATTAACTATATAAACGAACTATATATAGTGGAATTGTATCGAAGTAAATTTTTAATTATTTCTTTAAAAAATTAAATGATAATGATATGTGAAATTCTGCAAATTTTCATAAGTATTTTTAAAAAATTTTGCGCTAAGACTATACATATATTCTACTTCACCCTAGAGCTTCAAAATTAGTCAAAATAACTTACAATCTGTAATGTTTATACGGCTTAACTATTTTTACGTACAATACTAAAATTCAAACAAATTTCTTTAATAACTTTAGATTTTTCATGGTGGTTATAGGTTTAGAAACGATTCTTTTTGTTTTTACTCGAATTTTTGACTTATAAGTAGAAAGATTTATGTATTTGTACTCCATTTTATTTACTTACATAAACATAAAATTTTAATAAAAAATCCCTGACCTAAAAAGAAGTTTGAAATGTTAGATAATATGTTAGGACGTGGGGGGGAGGGGGGAGTTTTAATAAGAATTGTTGAATTGTCGAGTCAAATGAAAATTTTCTTATTCGAAAAGTAAATTCCACAGTACGTCTACTTAAAGTCACAATTGAAGAAAATTATAAATACTCGTTTTAAACTTATTATTTACAATTACAAATTGAGAATTAATTATAATAATTTTATCGAATAGTATCAAATGTTGTTTAAAAATTGTTTAAAAATTTTCAATTTTAATTAAATCTCCAAAGTCAGATAGTTTTAAAAAAGTTATTATTTTTGTTTTTTTATAATTTTACCATGAAACTTTATTATATACTAGCTAAATGAAACCGTATTATATAGAGTTTCAACGCTAGTTTCTAAAAGTTTGTTTTCAATGTATTTACTCGCAGAGAGAGAGAGAGAGAGAGAGAGAGAGAGAGAGAGAGAGATAGACTCAAAGCCAAATATACATACGCCGAATAAGTAATAATATATCAAAATTTAGTCATTGTAGATGAGAAGCTGTAGGGAGCACCAAAACTGCTTATATACATCATCTACTTTCTTCTACTTTGCTCGTACAAGTTTAGTAAAGCTCAATGAAGCTTGATAAAGTATATTTAATTATTTTGATCTTTAGGAATATCTAGGAGCTAACGGGTGCATGGCGCATCTATACCTACAGCAACCACTCCTGCCTATTTCCTATATATATACTAAAAACATACACTTTTGCAACTTTGCAACACCATCATCGCCCCGATCGACCCAATAAGTAAGACGCCATTCTTAATTCCCATCACAAAGCACTCGACTATCTCCCTCCCTACTCCTTGACCCTACCAACTATCCACTACCACCATCCCGCCCCCAACCCCACCCCTAAAGGATGAGGAACAAGGACGAGCGGCATGACTCGCCAGACGGCGCGCCCCTTCTCTACGCAATCAACGTGGACGTTGAGTAAGGACCTTCGGCAAGGACCTCGGGCCCAGAGGCGAATCGTGTCCGCTTCGCATAAAGAGGTCGTCGAGTCCATCGGAAATCCCCCTGAGCGGGGATATGGATATATGGAGCAGAACAGACACGCCAGCTCAGCCTCTCGTGTGCCACTTTAAACGTCGCGGCCCTCGTCGCTCTGCTACACGCATCGTTCGCCTCTCGCTCCCGAGGCGAGCGCCTACCCGGGCGAGGACTCCCGGCAGCGATGCGCTTTCACCTCGCGCGCCGCCCATTGAGCCTCGGCTGCCTCGGCTCCCGACTTTCTCCCGTGCGCGCTCAGCCCGCGCTTATGCAATCGCTCTGACATAACCTTCGCCGAGCCGGCGCGTGTGTTACGCCATCGTGGCTCTTGCCGCATTACGAGTGAGTCGAGGCTCACGGGGAGAGGCGACGACGATTATTCTCCCATCCTCCCCGTCCCTCCTCGACTTGGCAGACCGAACCAGCGTTTACACAGACTCGGCACTCCACGTCCTCGACCCATCCCATCCGGCATTGGGCACGACGACGAGTCCTACCCTTTTTCGAGTATCGTTCCCTACTAAGGACCCGACCATCAACCCTACCTATGGAACTTTCTTCACCTTCCGTCGCTCAGCAGTCTTTCTCCGCTCTCTCTCTCTCTCTCTCTCTCTCTCTCTCTCTCTCTCTCTCTCTCTCTCTCTCTCTCTCTCTCTCTCTCTCTCTCTCTCTCTCTCTCTCTCTCTCTCTCTCTCTCTCTCTCTCTCTCTCTCTCTCTCTCTCTCTCTCGCCTTAACGGAACCTTGGAATGCGTTCATTCGTACAAATGATGACACTTAAACCCGTTGCAGTTGGATGACTTTAAAGGCTCGTAGTCCGATATAGAGTTCGTACCAGTGACGAGGGGCAAAGGGAACAAACCCCAAACGGTGCGCGAATTCCTTCGAAAAGCCGTGCGAGAGACCATCGCTCGTCGTGGCCTTGAACGAGCGAGTATAATTGAGCCATAGCGAAGGAAGTTGCTAAGTAATTGCACGAGAATCGATATTTATTAAAGGGGGAGCAGTCGTGTAATCCCCAGCTCTAGACGACCCTCCCGCTCGGTCCCTTGGTCGCCAGTAATCCAGGGCTCATGGATGCCGCGCGAAGGATTTTCAAATCGCGCTTGCCTGTGTGTGCGTCAGTGGTAGGTCACCGATCGTCGGCTATAAATATTTATGCAATTGCGCGTATTTACAAGCACGTCAATGGCCTGCCTATGTCCGCTAACCAATGGAACTGTTTGCAAATTGAATGAACAAGACACAAAGAGAGAGAGAGAGAGAGAGGGGGGGGGTCCTGCAACGATCACTATGCTTGAATAGACAATGTTAGGGGCACCATTTCATAATATCGCGTGAGAATTGAGATTATAACGAACACTATAATGAATTTGCTAAAATAATGTTGTATAAGCAGAATATTACAAAATGGCATTTGAAAAATGCCTTGAGGTCGGGGATTGCGTTGGTAATGGAGGTAAACGCCGAATAGGAAAAACAACTCCCGAGAGCCTCTTTACGATTATTTAATATTTCTTCTTTACTGCGAAGGTCTAATGATCGTTGGATCATGGGAAAAGTCGCATAAGATGTTACTTCCGCGAGGGGAGGGTCTTACGTCTATCCCGACCGCGGTTAGCCAGCCCTGCCAGCCAAGGCCACAGAAGGGCTCGAGGGATGGCGCGGTGGCTTAGTAAAGGAGGTGGATCCGGGTCAACGGAGCTTACGTGTGTCAAAGTCGGGTTCGGCGTTGCCGCCATTGGCGTCGATGATGACCTGAGCACCGACGAGGCTCGCGAAGAGTCCGATAAGGGCGATGACGCCCAGGCGTTTGGTCATCGAGGCCATGGTGTATGGAGCCGAAGGAGGTTTCGTGCTCTCGGCGCAGCTCGTGTCGCTCGGAGGTTCGAGTGCGGGTCGTCGAGATGTCCCGTCGAGGAGCGGCGCACAAACAAAACTAAGCCATAGTCAGCCGTCGCACGACAAGAGCAACAACTCGCGGGCTTTTTCGAAGCGGGTCTCCGTCTACTGCTCCGCGGCTCGGCCGAGGCCCGATGGAGGGGCCCAAACTCTCGTGGCGAACGAGGGCTAGAGGGACGAGAGGTAGTGAGCGCGAGAGTGAGAGAGAGAGAGAGAGAGCGGGGGAGAGAGAGAGAGAGAGAGAGAGAGGGAGACAGAGAGAGAGAGAGAAAGAGAGAGAGAGAGAGAGAGAGCCCGAGAGCGCGAGTGAGACGGAGAACTACGACGGTAGCTTTATCAGATAAACTAAAGACAGGTCCGCTCATATTGCGTCTTATATTCGAGCGCCCCTTCTCTCAGGACTCGACCGGTCGCTTTGCTACCGATGGAAACTCTCCCTCTGTCTCTCCTTTACACGCTATTCCACACCGGCGAGCCAACGAGTCCGGCTAATAAACACCGACGCCACGAGTCTTTCGACAATACTTTCGCGCTCCTCCCTCGAAGCTCCCTCGTCTCTCTTTTAGATTAAATGCCGGTGTGTGTTTGAGTGGGGGTGGCGGTGGTGGTAACGGTAGCGACGGCGACGGCATCGGTGGCGGTATCGGTGACGGTAACGGGGACAGGAGGGAAAGTCGTTGACGGAACGCTCGGGTCTGGAGCTCCCGGCCGAAGGAGACAAGTCCCCGGGCTTAGCCACGCTGACCCTATTTCCATGCGCATCGCTGCAACGAGGATTCGAAGAGCCGACGTCGTGACTCGCCGGCCATGAATCCATAACGAAGCATTGTCTTGCCGAATTCAATTCTGACGCGCCTTATAATGATTAATTCGGCATTGGACAGCCGTGACTGGTACGCGTCGACGAGGTACTCGGAACTTTTGCCAATCCAGATAAGTTTCTTCGGCTTCCGTTTCTATCCCAGTATCGTCCTTTCTCGGTAAATTCTCCTCTCCTTCTTTCTTTCTTCCATCCTCCCGCCACCCCCCCACTCTCTCTCTCTCTCACTATCTCTCTATCTCTCACTATCTCTCTGTCTCTCTATCTCTATATCTATCTCTATGTCTCTCTCTCTTTTTTTTTCGTACGAAAAGTGCTTGTGCGCAATATGAAGAAAAAAAGCTAATCGGCTTTACGAAACATTGACGCAGATCTTTAATTTTAAGATTCATGCAAAAACTCTTCACCAAGCTTCTTTGTTTTTTTCGCCTGAATTAATAGCAAAGTTGCCTAAGCGACTAAGATATCGTTTATATTCCAGCAATATTATCGGAAATCAGGCGCGTCCATGTCTGTTGTGCGCAACACATTAAAATATTATAAATTTATGATATCTATTCGATCGGTATCGTGTGCCTTCGATCTCTATGGGCATTTTTTGCGCAACTGCCATACCTACGTAAAATTATACAATCGATATACATTCAATATAATAAATGCATAAAATAAAGTAAAATGAAAATTGACGATTATAAATCGATCTTAAGCTCTTAGCATTGGATGAAAAAAGCGATAGAGCTGTAATTAGTGCAATTACGATGACAAGCAAAAAGAAAAACAAAACCAAACAAAACCAACAAAGATACTATTAGTTATCGTTCGATAAGCATATGAAACATTTAGTAAAATGAAATTTCTAACCTGCCTATCGAATAATGCTGTGCGTACAAACATAAAGCTCGATTGTATGTAACGTACGATCATTACATTTCTCATTAGGCTTATTAAGCTTCTATCATACTGCCATTAAACATAAACGTACATTGCTAATTTGCCTTTAAGCATAAAGTACAATGTCATAATGGGATGATCTAGCATTATTACGTGAAAACTCTCTCTAAGTCGTATGAGCATAAAATATAATAAAAATATCAAATGTATATGAATATCTTTCAAAGACAATGCATGGACATGCGTATTTTCAATTAATTTTCTGATATCACCGTTCAGCGATTTAATATCTAATATAATATGAATATGGAGGATAGTAGGTTATAAAATAGTTACAATTGTCAATCGATGCGCATTAGTGGTCATCTGCAAAATTACTAATGTATACGAATGCAGAATTTTTGTAATAATTAACGATACCAAAGTATTCTGATGAAATCGAATGCCAATTTCAACCGTTCGCATTAACATTATTCCCGTCTAACGTAAAGTACATAATAAATATTGAGTTTATAATGTACTATAAAGCCAGTAATTATTTGTAATGAATTTAAAGCCAATTGGATTAACAAGAAAATTCTGAAATACTTCCTTAAAATTCGTTTATATTCAAAATTAGACATTTTAATTCTGATATTATAAGAAATTATATAATGCTCGAGTCTATTGTAATTCGCTCGCTTCACGAAATTCATTATTGAACTCTTAAAATAAAACGGTAGAGTAGTTTTTTATTTTACTTTCTATATGAATATAATGCATATACCTGTTTATGCATTCATTTATATGTGTGCATGCGTGCGCGTATGAATAATACTCAATAAAGTATCTTGGTATGAATAAAGTATTTACTTTGATAAATAAATAATCATAATAGCTTGTTTCTTATTAAATAGCTACTGCTGCGGCGCGGTAAGAAAAGTTTTCTTAAAATAACTGCATAAATATAATGATAAATTACAATTAGCCATTAAGTATAATTTAATATAATCATTGTCACGTAAATTATTACTAAATAAACGTATGGATAAACTTTTTATTTAAGTATCAATTATATGCTTCGTAAAATTGACATTCATCGTCGAAAATTATCAAATTACAATGTAAATTACGTAACGATTAAGGATTTAAGAGTACGTTATAATTCATAAATTTCTACATACAATTACATTTAGTAAGAATTGGGATGCATAATTCTTAATTAAATCGAAAATGTTTATTTTCATATTCATAAAGAAGGCATTTTCATGCATTAAATTCAATAGCTTATAAGAGTTCTCGATCGTGAGAAAATTCTCTGGCAATTCATGAGTTTGTATTGTTTATTAACTTAAAGCATCATAGACAAAGTAAAATTTTAGTTCCCATTATTTTACAATATTTTCTTAGTTTGTTAATGATTATCGCACTTGAAAATCTCCAGCGAGTTATAAATTATAAAGCCCTTTTGTTGCAAAATAAAAGTCGCGCGACGGACAGGCCGTCCGTAAAACTTTATTTTGAATTCAGCTAGCAAAATGTTCGATCGAACCGAAGGATTTTTATTAACATTGATAGAACGGTATTTTTTATTATCTCGAGCGCATGGTCGAAGGCACGTTCGTACCCTTCTCGGGATGTTTCACACATCTCATATTGGATGAGCTGATACAGATGCTCGTCTCCTTACCCTCGAGTCGTAATTCCTGATTCTATTCTTCGCCATTCCCCAATGATGGTGGTGGAAGTGAATGTATTACTTTGCATTTTTCTACAAAAATACATAAATACATTTATTACAATAAATGCATTCACGATTTGAAATTCTCACCTTCGATGTATTTCAGATTTTGTATTATGCTGCACTCCGCATACCTAAGTGACAATTTGCAAAAAAAAAATTTTATCCACGTGTAACTTATTTCATGCTTATCTCGAAATATATTTTTTCATTATTCTATGCACACGCCGACTCATCTTATGTATAATATTTAAGCATTGAAAGAAAATGTATGTACGGTGATTATTTTAAGGAATTGTAGAGCTGCTTTATCACATGTTTCATCACATGATAATCACATTCCGTGATCTATTTGTAAAATCGACAGTAACAGAATTCTACAAAATTTAGCTAACATTTTACATATAATGTTAAAAACTATATTCATGATAGTAAGTTAATATATACCCTTTATATAACCATAATTAATATAATAATTATTTTTATATTATTATAAATCAAAAATTCAGAAATTTATTAATATATGCTTTTTCAAAAGATATTCTGGAAACTCGTTTCATTCAAGATAATAACACAAAACAAAACATAAATCTCTGCTTAGGTAAAATAATATCAAAACTTGAAAAACTAAAAATACGTGCTTGATTGATCTGAATCATTTGGAACTATATATTTTACAAACAAGATGTAAATGCAAAATAATCGTTATTTTTCAAAATCATCTCGATAATGTAAATAATATTTATTGAAACATTCGATTGAATATTCCAGAAAGATTGATCCATACGTATAGTAAACATTAATTCAATCGTATCCAATGTAGATATTCAATGTCTTTCTTCTTTTGAATTATCTTATGATTTAACATAACTAATCCTTATTACTCTATTTATATTATTTTAATTAACAGTATTATTTTTCTTTCAATAAAAGTTTACATTCGGTTTAGTAAAGTTTTTATAATTGCCCAGAATATGAATTCCAATTACTTATCTGACCTAAAGGCCTCTTTCCTTTCAATTAATTATTAAAGAAAATTCTATGAAATACTTATCGAATGTTAATTGTAAGCCTTGATAGCGTATTTTAATAATAATATTGGGAAATATTAGCCGACGTTTATTAAAGAAAAATAAAACCATTGTTTAATCGGGATTGCAGGGAATATTTAAGATTAGCTATAAGGAAATAGAAAGGAATAAAATTAAATCATCCTTACAAAAGTATATAGTTACTTTTATTCAAAAGAATTTAATGCTAATTATAATTCATTAAATTTGTACAATAGATACATGTATCAATAGGATGTAATATTGTAATGTATTATAAACATTTTAAGCCTACTACTATTACGTTTCTAACAACTAATGTAACATTAAGAAAAGATTAGAAAGGGAGAAATTAGTGTATATTTACGCCAATAATTATTGTTTTAACGAAATATTGTCAATTCAATCGATGAGTACCGATTATAATTTGCTTTCATTTCGCGAACTG